CTGTATCAAATACTTCGAGACAATCAAACAGAATCAATTGCTTTCCTCTAGAAGTCGAGGAGAAATTCCCACTTGGGGGATTTTCCCCAAGCGACATTGCTTAAGGCGTAAGCAGCGTTTAGAGTAGAGTGACCTGAGGTTCATTACATTACATTGTACATTGTATTTTTACTCCGACTGGTTGAGTTGACGACTGCGGACATCTAATGAAGTGGAAATCTCGTAGAGTTCCAGGCAATCCATTTCTTGTGATTTCATGAAATATGGCACACTCATTCGACTCCTTGCTACTCATTCATCCCTTCCTCTTCTTTTACTTATTCATCCTGCAAGGAAATTGTCATCGATGTTCAAGCGTCCCCTGGTGATAGCTGGGACATTTTATTCAATATCCAATTTCCTGTCTTTTGAATTTCTCCTGCTTAATGCTCGAGTTTTAAACGGCTATTCCAGTCGCTTCTAATTCATCTGCAAGCTTTTTCAGCATTTAAGCGGATTTATATCCCATAATGCTTGCAATTTATTGTCCTGATATTGCCAACCAAATCGTCCCTAACCGTCGGCAAAAGAAATTGCAATCGTCGAATTTCTGAAACCATTTCGACCCTTTCAAAAAATTTCGGAAGGAAATTTGTTTAAGACTTCAAGACTTTATTTCAACCATTTCAGAAAATAGCGAAGTTTGATCTCCGGAAGCTTGGAAGAAGTTCGATTGAGCCCCAGTAACTTGTTTTTTCAGACGGCTCAGGTGGAAGTGTCGAAAAAAATCTTTTTGAGCTTTTCATTTGCGACCGTATTTGGAGACAGGGGAATCGCTAGAAAAGAAAAATGCCATGCATTTATGGTAATGCCATTTATGGCTCCTAAGTAACTTAGTTTTTCAGTAAGAAGTGGTCTGAAAGTGTGCAGCAAAACTTCAAAACGTTGAAAACGAGTATTGATTGAACGAAGCCTTCTTTGAGTAAGTGGATCGATACTTAGTCGAAGTAATTTCTATTCTCTTGCATAACAACAGAATTATGTCTGTCGATATTTCTCCATAAAGCATTTTTCTGGAAATTAGCTGCACATGCGTACATGACTGCATGCGATTTCCGTTTTCTGTCAAGAATTAGGCTTTTTTCACTAATAACCATTCTCTTAAGCTTTATCCGCTACTGGTACCTTTCCCTAATCGAAGTTCGGCTTACCATTTGGTCGGAATCGATATCTGTATCAATCAATATTATATACCGATGCAAGGAGTAAAATGAAAGCAATCATTTCGTGGTTATGTAAAAAGGAGTCGAATTAGTGAGCGCTGAACCTATCTAATTCTGAGATTTGTTCCAGTTTGAGGCTTCAAAAGCGATCCATTTGATTGCACGTCTGCATTTTCTCGCGGGAGAGAATAAGGTCAGGAACTGCTTTTCTTTTTTTGGCAGGCAAAAACTGTAGAGTCCTTGATATAGGATATCCCTCGATATCCCTCGTTTCGCTGTTTTTTCGTCGTCTTTCAGTGTGATCCTATGGGATTTGGCCTGGGTGCGGACCTATCGTGAATGCGTCTCCTAGCAATTTTGAGGTCGTGCTACTGATTTTGCCTTTTTCCTTTGAAAATTGCACGTTGTTAATCTTTCGTCAAAATCGCCCGTTGTTCATCTTTCCTCATATCCAGTATTTGTGGTACTACATATTATTCGAAACAGTATTTGAATGTATGGCGTGTATCTACAGGACGTCATCAAATGGCTGTATGAGGAATTATCTGAGGTCTGTCGTAGAGAATTTACGCTCTATCAAAAGGATCGACGGTCAACGATAGTGACGTCGACCTCTCTTTCTCTCTCTTTTCCATAGGCGCTATGTTTTGGAATTTCATAGAAAATGAGATGGGATTTGGCGTACCAATCAATATCAATCCGCTTAACTTCTATTTATTATTATTAACATTCCCGCATGATCACGGGTTCGAATCCCGGATCGATTTCCGCCTGGACCACCAAGCCTTGCACCCCTCTGGAATCGGTTGGTTGGTATAAGGCTCGTCTGGGAGGACAAAAGCGCTGAACTGTACATCGCTGGCCACTGCGATTCATTGTAAAGGCCACATACGCATTCAATACGCTACTACGATTCTGATTGGAAGTAGAATGAGTCGGCGCATCCCTCAGACGGGATCGAATAACGTCAGAAACTTTATCCTTTACCCTATTATTATTAATTTTATTGATATTATTATTGTTTCAGTACGATCATCTGCTTATTTCCAAAGGTAGCTTGTTCACAGTAGCAGATGGGAAGCTTGGTTATTCTGAGCATAGGCATGTGGGTCACTACAGTGTCAAATAAAGCCACTGCATTATCTCTAACCGAGCTGATTTCTCCAAAAAATTATTATGACGTCACTAAGGCCAACTTCTTGAGTTGTAATACATATATACATAATTATACACCGATATCTTCAAATCTCTGCTAGAATCTGCCACCACGTGCTCCGAAATCTGCTTCGTTGTCGTATGAGATTAATGAAGTGCAAATATCGCCACCTTGGGCCATTCATACTGCAGCAACTACACGCATGTATGTACTCTTGAGAGCTGTTTTTTATGATTACCAATAACAGGAATTGCTTCTACCATGAATACGTCCTACGTGATCTTCCTAACATATGTAGTATACGAAATCATTAAATTTTTTCTTGAAAAAATCCCCTTTTTCTTCGGCCAAGATGGCTTTTTTCTTCAATTTCATGAATTTTTTTGAACTTCTCCCGAGTTTGGTACGATAACTTCACTAGACTGCAAGATCGTCTTCTTCAAAGCCTAAGAGGATCGATTCGATTCGAATTGCCTGCCTTCCACATTCCTTTTTTGGTTCCGCCCCTGTCAAGTTTCCCTGTTCTGAATCTTTTGTTAGTAATGCAGAAAATTGGAACTGGTAAGTCGTTAACATTTGCTTCAGATATTTTTTTGAAAAAAAAANAAAAAAAAACTATTTTATTCATAGAATTACATGTTAGATGTTTTCTTTTTTTCTTTTTCTTTTCTTTTCTTCTTTACTTTCTTTTAGATATTCAATATAGATTTTTGGGTAATTCAGGGCATATTACGCTAAAAAGATTTGCAAGAAATCACCACGAATGAAAATAACTACAATATAAAAAAAATGCTGTAATGCGAAGTGTGAATCGTATGGATTTTCACTGAGCTCTATTTTTTTTCATTATATAAACCATGTTGCTCCCTTGCCTACATCAGACCACTCAGTTTAGTCTCTTTGATTGACTTTGTTCACAAGAATTATCAGTAACTGGCACTTCTACATCAGTGCTAAGGTTTGATCCATCATGCTGCTCTTTTTAGCTGTCTTTCTTATATAAATATCCAATAAACGGGGTATACTTACTCACTTAGGGCTTAATTTGGTCTGAAATCTTTCCTACGATTATTTCCCCATTCCAGTAGTACAAATAACAGTTCTCAGTGTAGATTACAGTCAGATAACTTTTGTCCAATCTCCTGTATGATTAAGTCCAGTTTCATCCAATCGATGTCCTGCTCGATTGCGTCTCCCAGCCCGTTTCCGTGCTAGGCCAATCCCGGGGGTGAGGGCAAGGACCATATTCGCCTTTCCCAAAATAGACTCTCTGTTGTCCGGCTGATTGGAAGAAAATTAGATTTCTCTCTTCTGATTTGATTCATCGTAGCGAAAAAACTGAGGAGATGAAAAGAGACAGAAGGAGCATACTTGATCCCATGCTTCCATTTTGGCAAAGGCGTTTTTACTAGTACTTTCGCCTATGCCCTGATTACCCGTCCATTATCTTCAACTTGCAGACTTTTACGGGACGGAATTTATCGAATGAGGAAGGGTCAGTTCACTGCTACCTCAATTTTTCAGCTAAGTAGGAGATGCGAGGCCTGGTTTAATGAAATGATTGAACAATCTGTCGAAAAGGAACAGAGAATTAAGGCAAGAGCAATGGAGTTGAGCCGAATCTTACCCACTTCGGGTTGTCCCGCTCTTTGAGTTGGTTTTTGTCGTGCTCAGGTGAATTTATTGCCTCCAATGTCTTTCCAACCTTTCACCATGGCAGAATAGGTGCTCTATATCAACTGGCGACTCGAAATGGATTTGGTAAAGGTCAGCAGAAAATGACTGGTTCCGCTGAGGATTGAGCTGGTGCAGCGACCAATGATCTGGTTAGAGCATCTTTGTTATTTGGGTTGGGAAAAGACCTCCTGGTTCATTGTTGATTATTTGGTACCAATCTGCCATTTTCGATAGAGACATCTAAAACTCCTGGATTATAATTATACTATATGCAGCCCTTTGCGATCAGTTCTATGAGCCATAAGCGACCTTGGTGGGGTTTCCCGGTGAAGAAAAAGTGTAGGCAGTACTTTTGGCAAATTTCTTCTTCTTTCAACGCCGACGGCTTCAAGCTACTGGGCTCTATAAAAGTAGGGTCGTTAAGAACCCCAAGTCAGCCCCTCTCTCTTGAACTTTTCCTAATAACCCTGTCAATGCGAAAAAAGGTGTTCGTGGAGAGCGCCACCGGAAACGGAAATCGTGAGCTATGATGCGTAAAGGTGAGTTGGTCGTTGAATGTGAGCTGGGTGTTAACGCCTCGTCGATCAAGCGATTGCTTCCATTTCACTGCAATGCTCATGCACCTTGAAACTTTCAAATGATCACATCCTATTTTAAACTGAACTACGATCATTTAAGCGCTGACATTTGTCGGGCTTTGACCACACGTCACTCAGGCACCGTGGTCATGGTCAACACGAGCCACTCGGGTCAACAGGAGCTCTCCAAAAATATCGAAGTGCTAAGTTCTTTGACCGTCCCTAGACTTATTGCAGCGCTCACTTTCCACGGGTCAGCTCATTGAAAGGAGTAGGTCTCAACAGGAATACGTTGTGATAGAAACAATGGCTCAAACCTAGACCACACCCCATTTCTTTAAGCTTCAAGGTGGAGGAAAGGGTGAAAAGGATAATTTTGATCACAAAATGCTCATCGAAGTACTTTTTGTGTCTTTGAATCCGTTTCACACCCGCGAAGGACTGATTTTGAACGAAACGGATTTTCAATATGGCAATCCGACAGATCCACCCCTTTGGTTTTCCATTGATGTTGTCAGATCTCTAGCCATGCCTGGACAGGCAGTACCGGAATGGGCCATGACTCAGCGGCCACTCAATATTGTAATGGTGCTTGTATGAGGCTTTGGTCTATACCTAGCTATTTGATAGGCAAATCAGCATTTCGATCACCGTTAGTGAATCCATTTCCAACCAACTTATCCCGAAGATTTGGGAGGTTTCTTTCGATTCGAGCAGGAATCGATCTGAGATTTAGTATCCGAGCAATACAGCGTGTTATAATAATAGCGCCATAACCATATTGTTATTGCCATTGTCTCACTAAGCCTTCTTTCACTGCACTTTTCAGAGTGTAACCACATTAGCTTTTGTCAGAACTGATGATGACAATACTGTATGTAGCTTCATAATTGATTACGTGGATGGCAAGTGTGAACGTTTTCAATCACAGCTTTCATCGGTTCAGTCTCTGATTTAGAATATCGTTTTTTCTTTTGCTTCAACTCTTCCCCACATTCATGATCTTGAACCTTTTTCTCTTGACGGTAAGGGTTTCCCTTGATTTGGGATGACGGCGCATGGCGCTGTCTGAGAGAATGGGAACCATCTACCGGGACTAGCTCTATTTCTTTATACATATGTTTGATATTTATTTGTTTTTTTTTATTTTTACATTCGGATACCTCCAAGGATGTTCGCCAACCAAAATTTTATGCATCTTCTGGCACCTTCTTTGTGGAAATCGGCTATTCCTGCAGACTCTTTCAAGATTGGAGAGCTTTATATGAGATCTAATGCGTAGTGTGAATATCTGATAAGAGATTTAAGCCCTGAAAATGATTCAAAATCTGGAATGGAATGATATTTTCAGTGCTACTAACAAAGTAGGCGGAAGTTGGGTCTCTACTCAACATAATGACCGTTTCTATCTATAGAATAGCTGTCCATCTTCTCAGCTCTTCCTTAGCTCCGTTCTTCTTTGATTCCAATCGTAGCGAAGTGAAAAAGCGGTCAGTTTCGTTTCCGAATTGATGTCGATAATTGAATTCTTTAACCTCCAAATCATGTATCAGTGCTCTGAATGTTAACGAGAGTGTTCCCAGTCTGGTGTATGGAACTGTGAACTAGGTTATACTTCCCAACCGGGTTTCATAACATTTTGTACTTCTTTTCATTGTTTGCCATGATCATCATATATGGGCACGCATTGTTGTGGACAGACAAAAGCTTGGGAAATTTGAAACTATTTCACATATGACAATAATGACCGCTTTTGGTGCCGGATCATTTAGGAGGTATGGCTGTCAACGCAAAACCAGAACATCCAGGATATTGCAGTTTCACGTGAAACCCTGTAAGTGGCAATAATTGGTGATAATAACTCCTAATCTTGTAAATGTTTCAAGTTATAAATTTTGGTGATATTATTCATGCCATAGTTATAGGAAAGTTGGGCTTGAGGTGGTCCTGAAGCGAGTTTTATAGGGTAGTTACCCTTTGACATGGATCTTCAGCTATCAAAGTAATCACCGTTGGTATGTGCGAGAGGTGACCATTTCTCTTGTAGCTTTCGCAATACCCCCAGCAACGAAATTGAACTTTTTGATGAAAATGAGTTTTTGGCTCTGCAGGGGTCTTTTTTCATTAAATCCATTGGTGTTCATATGCACTGTTCGCAAAACCAACCACTTTTTATCGTCTTTCAATAGTTTTCAAAAAACTTGTGCTACTCGCGAGTGAGAAAAGCACAAAGCTTTGACTATACGGTTCGTTTTGTTGGGCTTGCGCAACTCAAGTGACCCTTCCTAAAGTGTTTTGCATCCATGTTGAAGAGATCTAAATGATTCATTGAATAGACTTTCCTTCAACCCAACACCTGTATTTCGCAAGGGGGATTTGCCTTCAGCACTGCAGAGGTGTGACTACATTTCTCTTACAATTAATTCTGTCAAAGTTGCAACTGCATGGCGAATTCTGAAAGTACCTGAAAACGTCTTTGTTGATTTTTCTACGGCAGGTGGACACAATATTTTCTAGCGAAATAGAACTTCACAAAGAATAAAAGCTGGTGGTATCACTTGATCCCTCCCTGGGATGGGCCTTACATACTTTTCGCCTCCAATAGAAATCGTTGTGGTGTCTGAAACGAACTTGGCTGCGTGAGCGCTCCAGTGAATGCCTTGATGTTCTATCCTTTCCAAATAACTGTGGTTTTAATTGAATAGTAGCAGAGTAAGAAAAGGTTTTGTTAAGTCGGAGCGGGCTGCGATTCTGGATTCGATCCTTGATTAATGCATGTGAAAGAAACGTTTCTTTACAATCTCACCATCTTTCATTTTCCTTTTGTATGCATTTGCTGAGTATCTTACCCATATTTCTCACTGTGTGATAATCCTTGTTGCCATACGCCCCTTCCCTCCAAGCCTAGAGTTCTTTCGTTATCCATATATGGCGAAGACGTCTCGAAGTTTTACCGCGATATCGGCTCCCTCCACAATCCCTGAAAAAGTGTCCTAAACGAAATGAGTTTTCAGAAATTCCTTCTTGCCATTTTTGTTTATTTCTCTATAAGTTCTCCATTCTTGAGTTTTTTTGGAGCAATTTCTTTCTGAGTAATTCTCGGTGGACGAGTTTGCCGAAGCTCCTAGAAAGCTTGTCTGTTTTCTTGGTTGGACTTCTGCTGGCAGAGTGAAATAAGCGTGGTATTCGAACTTTATTCTCAAATATGTAAAACTTGAGTGAGTCAAATACTGGGTGTTTTCTCTTCGTCACTCTTACTGGGCGTGGGCGTGGCCTGTGAGTTGGGCGGGGATTTCCCGAAACAACAGGACTTTACGGGACAGTTGATGCAAGATATCCTTGTTGACGAAGAAAAGATGAGGTTTAGAAAAGCTGCAAACGCAACTCTAAAGATTGTGCTCCCTGCTCTCGATTACTACACAGGCTTTCGTTGTGGCCACAATAGCTCCTTTCCAAAGCATTCATTAAGGGTGTTTCAATCCGTGAACGACTCAGACTCCGAGAAGTCAAGCATGTCGCCAAGAGAAGTTGCCTTACTCGTGCAACTCTTTTACCTTCCCCCCTACCGAAAGCAGAATTCAGCAGTACCTTCCTCTCCTCTCTTGAAAAATGGGCCTCAACATGATCCCAAGTATAGCATGGGCCCTACTGTTCAGGAGAGATCATAGCTGTTTATCGGGAATGAACTCCATGGTAGCCGATTAAAGTAGCAGCTTTCAGTTGTCGTCGTGTCGACGCATCGCAATAGAAACCCTTTTTCGATGTCGCAAGACCTCATTCCGTTGATGTTGTCGCCCACGTTCCCATCAGTCTATTCGTCACGTCGCCTCCCTCCTTCCTTGTTCTTCCTTTCTGAGAGTTTTCTTCTCTTCAGAAAAGCTTGCTCCTTGCCTCCGTTTCAAGGATTTGCCACCTCAAACAACACTCCGTATCGTGTCATTATGGTTATTTCTGGTGAATTTTTGTCGCCATTGGTCACTGGGCACCGGGCAGGTAGGCTGATCTATCTTCTGAAGCCAATTTGTGGCCAACTTGTCTTGAATTGTAAGCGTTGAAGATTAATTGATTGATCAATCATATTGAAACGAGTGACACTGACCGATTCCTCTGCAATGGTGCATCATCAGACTGTTTTTCCAGTTGTTTGCGTATTTACTACCTACAGACGTTTATAGCATCAACATGGTTTCGTAAAAAGGAGTAGTAAAGCATCTGGAGTAGTTGAAAACCGATAGGGCTATCCGCGCAAGCATTGTTGCTGCTAAGTCGAGTAGAATCCTCTAGAAGGCGGAGCTTCCTGGTGAGGCGGCACTCCCTGAAGCGACGTTTAGAGAATGTAGCATTAATGGAGGGATTCTCGATTCAGTGAGAGGAGATGAGAAAGTAAGTAGCAGATAACTTGCAGGACACGGCAAATGCAGTTTCATTTGCTCCAAGAAAACCACTTTTGATTATTTCTTCTAAAAAACCCCCGTATCTAAACGTTAACCAGCAGGAAAAAGCTAAAGCTTGATGCCATAACTACTAAAGATTAGTCTCCTTATCAGATTATCGGCCAATCTACCGTGATGCACTACTGGCTAGAGGTAAGAGTAATTGCATATTTCGCTACCTGATTGATAGTTTTTCTTTTACGCAATGCAAGTGCGGCTAATCATCCGGTACGGTAATAATACGTTTGCATTCAGAGTGTGAGTCTAATCTTATCACCCTGAGCCCTTATGACTCATTTGGCTAAGTTGTATGGAGCCAAGTGATTTTCTATGCGTGATTTAGCTATTAAAATTCGATTGTGAAAACATATTTTTATTCAATTAAGTACCGTAAAACGTGAGTTTGCCATTTTCCTATCCTCCTGGCCACAATTCAAAGTCTTCTGGAGAAGCATTAGAAAGCGTCTTGAGCTTTGACCTGATTAGCGAATCATTTCGATGTTGATAAGTTAGTTTCGGATTTAGAAACCTAATTTTCCCAGGCCTAACTCGATCCTGCGGGCTATACGATTCTAAAAAACACCCTTATTCAAAGACCATTTCAATACGTTACGAAAAATGTCTATCGATCATTCATTCCAAAGCCTTTTAATAGGAGCTCATAGCGGAGTACCTTTCAATTACCTTTTTTGGCAGTTTGACTGAAACCCCTTTCATGGCGCATCCCAGCTACGACGTCTTTGAATAGCGTGGGTTTTCTCTTGAAATCATCCTGTCGGGTATGTTACCAGCATGGCTGCTACTACTCAGCGGACGTTTATACTTGGCAAAGTGAACAGGTGGCCTTATATGGTGAGTATGATTGTGGACTCTGCAAACTCTGTGATGCACCGCGTCAGCCCGCGTCTGTCTCTGGATATTTCGGTCTTTTTTTTTTCTTGAAACCAGTCCAATTTCAGTAATTGGGTATAGGCAATTTGGATGGATAGAGCCTTGGATAACTGATATGTCACGTGCCACATAGCAATCTTATTGCGTGCTGAAATTTTAGCAATTTTCTCTTCTGTGTTTTTTTGGAGCACATTCTCACAGTCTTATTACTGAGGCTTGATTGCTAGTCACTCAAATCAAACCTTGTGACGAGCAAATTTTCTTTTGTACGTTGCT